AATGGAACTGACGACTGAAGGATATCAGGGGAAGAGGGTCCGACGATGAAGGGTTAGGGGGACGGTGCCGGCCCGGGTGCCCCGGGGTCGGGCGGGGGTCGGGTGGGGTGGGGGGTGGAACGGGGGGCGTGCAGGCCCGGGACTGGCCGCGATCGATGTCGGTCCGGCGGCCTGCCTCGCCGGCGCGGGCCGACGCTCCTCAGTCGGTGCTCCGACGGTCCGACGGGCCGACCGGCGACCGGCGTGTCGAGCAGGTGAGACGCGCTGGGACGGTGCCGACGGCAAGGGGTGGAACGGCACCGTCGGGAAGGGGTGGGACTGTACCGACGGGGTGGGGCGGTACCGGACTCAGCGGGGTGCTGTGGGGGCGGGCGGGACCCAATGGGGTGCCGTGAGACGTGACAGTTTCAGGGGGACGGCACCAGATCGCTATTCGGCGAGACGGCACCGGATCGAGTGTGGGGCGGCACCAAACCTAGCGGGACCGATTACGTGACAAAAGATCGTAAGACAAAAGATCGTATGGAAAAAGATCGTACGAAAATGATCGTAAGATAAAGATCGTATGTTGTAAAAGATCGTACGGTAAAAAGATCGTAAGCAAAAGATCGTAAAGCAATTGATCGTATGCAAAAGATCGTACGAAAATGATCGTAAGATAAAGATCGTATGTTGTAAAAGATCGTGCGACAAAAAGATCGTAAGCAAAAGATCGTAAAGCAATTGATCGTATGAAAAAGATAGTAGGAAAATGATCGTAAGATAAATATCGTATGTCGCAAAAGATCGTACGACCAAGGATCGTAAGCAAAAGATCGTAAAGCAATGGATCGTACAAAAAAGATCGTAGGAAAATGATCGTAAGATAAAGATCGTATGTTGTAAAAGATCGTTCGACAAAAGATCGTAACGTTACGTTCGTAAAGTAAATAATCGTATAGAATAGTGTTGCTACGAGCGAGCGAGCGCAGCGAGCGAAGCGAAGTCTTTTCAATATAATGGCTGGAAGTATGAGCAGAGAACTAGAAGCTGCCAGAGCGAACAGAGTGGCATGATATGGTCTGCGGGCCGCGGGCATTGAGCTTTCGTTAGGATGCAGGCAGGCTATCGGGGAAACTGGCCGGGTGTTTGTCGTTTGAACGGCTTGTATTTTGCATTTTGTCAAAAGAAATGATCTCATACAAGTTGTTTGTGGTTATTACCAATAATGGACAATCCTTCGATAACAATGACTCCTATAACTAGGATTGGATTGAAACTAGGATCCTATAACTAGGAGGATTGCGACTTCGATAGTGATAACGCGATAAACATCTGTTGATGACTCGTAAAGCGATGACGATTCTATATGAAAATGTAACAGTGCGAAGGAAAAAGTAATTTTAACGCCGTTTACTTCAGCCGCTTAAGCAACATTTTAACCTTCCAGGCGGTGGGGGGGGGGGAGGAACATTGGTTTAGTTGTATTCACTTCAAATAGGTACATGAAAACGGCAGCACATACATTCATTTATTCGGCACATATACAACGCGTTGCTTTTAGGTGTCATTGAGCCATCTAAGCTCTGAAATAACATCAATGTATGGTCGAGCTTACGACGGCCATTTACTAAGCGAACACAGAAATTAATAAGCTTTGTATGCGCTGGAGTTGGGCTGCACCATGTATGTGAATACCATATTTTGACTGTACGATCTTTATCCCATACGATCATTTGGCGTACGATCATTTTCCTTGACGATCTTTAGCGAATACGATCTTTTGTCCATACGAGCATTATGTCGTACGATCTTTATCCATTACGACTTTTTGGCATACGATCATTTTCCTTGACGATCTTTAGCGAATACGATCTTTTGTCCATACGATCATTATGTCGTACGATCTTTATCCATTACGACTTTTTGGCATACGATCATTTTCCTTGACGATCTTTAGCGAATACGATCTTTTGTCCATACGAGCATTATGTCGTACGATCTTTATCCATTACGATATTTTGCATACGATCAACTGCCTACGATCTTCTGCCATACGATCTTCTGCTTTACGATCTTTTGTCCGGTTACCGCGGGACCAGGTAGAGCGGCATTTAGCCCAGGGGAGACCGCATGGGACCCAGTGGAACAGCATTGGACCAGCTGTAGGCGGAATGGGGTTGGATGGGATGAACGGCAGCATGTCTGGTGGGACGGTGCATGGAACGTTGAATGCGAATCCCAGTGGGCGGCACCAGAGCCAGTCTTGTGGTGTGGAATCACACTGGCCGTATGAGCCAGAACGGCAAGGAGTGCGACGGCCAAACCGTGCACTAGCACGTTTTGGCCCCTTTGGTACGATGAAAGGCAAGACCCTAACCATGAAAGGCATGCTAGGATAGTACGGATGACGTGATGATATGTTGGATTCGTCTACATTGTATAATCAAGCTGTTGTGTTCTAAAGCCGTTCATGGAAGTCAATGCCGCTGTACGTTTCTGGAATGTCATTCTGTCATCGACCGCCCCCAACCCCTCCCGTTGAGGAAACTTGGCCACCTGCACATTCCAGCTCGACGACTTTTTGGCGCTGTGCATTCCTTCAGTTGCCCGCACTCTGAAGGACACCATCGACCGGTGTTGAAGTGAAGTTCATGGGTCAAACGGAAATGCTCCGTGCGTGAGAACACTGGCCGGTGTATTAATCAGTGAGACGGCGCTGTTTACTAATACCACTTCCACCTTATCTTATACCTAATTGTGTTTCCTGGCCTTTTATCGAGAGTAAGCTCCCTGTTGCCAGCAGAGATAACGATAAATCAGCTACCTACCAGTCCCCCAAGAGCCATCGAAGAGCGGATCGTGCCTACATGTCCAGAACACAGCATGTCACAGCGTAGCCCTCCCGTTCAGTGGTCTGGGCTGGTTCGGTTCACTCGGTTGGTTGATATCAGTTCAGTACGGTCCGGTTCGATAAAGGATGGCTCGATCGACGGATATCTCCGGAGTTGCGTCGCGGGAGATGTGAGGCTCTGCCCACTCCCATAGGTGTTGTACTGGGGGCGGGGTGGGATTCTGTACAGCGTACTCACCACCCGGCACCGGCTGCCGGTGACATTGGTGCCCCACTCTGACCTCCATCGGCCAGCCGAGATGTGGTGCTGTTATCTCCAGTCGTACTGAGTCGGCTCGACTCGTCATGACGTTATGTAATTTATAAGCCCATCCGTTCAGTCTATTTTTGACGGCGCTATTTATCAATGTTATGCCTCAAAGGCCGCTGGTCTCTGGCTGTCCTCCGTGACAGCGATTGAGAACAGTTGGCTGTTGAGTGTTGAAGGATTGATTGGATTTCAACGCCACTGCAGGGCTGGTCATCACTCGGGCTCGCCGCTGGATTGATAATTTATCCAATGACTGATCTGTTATCGAACCCACTGTGGAGATGCGGTCCGACCGACCGTCTTTTGTTTGGTCCCAGTGGGTCGGGGCCTGTGCCCATCGGGCCGTTCTTTGCTGCTGGTCATTTGGCTGGCATCCAGCGCTTATATTTTCCAGTGGGCCTGGTCGCTCCAGCGCTCGCCAAAGAGGCGACGGTGCAGTGCTGATGGGGATGAGCCGCTGAGGAGACTGGGGATTGGGTGATCCCCCAGAGGAGCTGCCGAGCTGCAGTACTGCTTAGACCGGCCGCCGGGAACGCTGTCGACGGTCTGGGGACTCTAGGGACTGGCTGTGCCGACCACGTGACCCTGGGGATAAGTGGTAGTCTGTACTCTGGGGACTGACTGTGCCGACCACGTGACCCTTGGGATAAGTGGTAGTCTGTAAATGGGAATTAGGGACAAATCGTCGTGACCGTATTGGAAATTCGATGGGATTCACACCTTCGTGAGAATCGTTTTGGAACTGGCGGATGTGGTTAGATGGAATAATTGGTGACGAGGTCTTCATACAGCACGTGATCGGACTGCCAAACATGGTCTGCACCAAGTCAGGAAGCTGCCGGAACCAGCAATAATTCACCTCTCTGCCTAACAGACACACTCAGCCAAATGTTTCGTAAATCGCAGTTTGTCGTCGTGTCTTATGGTTTGTCTCTCAGTTCCCGTCTCATCAGTCTGCCCATGTTTACGCTGACGTCATTGTTGTTTGGAGAGCCTGACAGCCTGGTCGCATGCTGCCCTGCGGACGCGAGCTAGAGGCAATCCCTTCTAAGTGAGCACGCCTCGCTGGTGAAAAATGTCTTACACCGTGGTAGCTACATAGCGAACAGATGGCTATTTCGTGCTGGTGAGGCGGTGAGGAAGTCATCAGGCATTCCAGATCCATCGGCAGCTGAACTTTGGAGTCTCTTACCTGTTGTAGAGTAGCTGCATCGCTGAATGCAGATTATTTTCATGGTGAGCACTCGAACTATTAACTTCATGCTTGTGGGGTAATTGGACTCCGCATGCCACGTCATCCAGCACAGCACATTACCTACCAAAGCAGTCACAACTTCACGTCAGTCTGTGACGGCTCCACGTCATTCTGGCCCTCCTCCAACTGAGGACTGGCCACCAGTCGAACCCCAACCCGGTCTCACCAGTCTGACCCCCTCCCTCCCCAGTCTACCCCCCCCCCCCCCGCCGGGTCACTGTGTGCCGGACGGTCGCTCGTCACCTCTGTCGGTGCATCACTCCGGCTGATTGGATAAGTCGGCGCGTGGCCGGCGGTACGCCCACTTCCGTGTGCCGTCGATGGCCTGTGCCGGACACGGGGGAGTGGGGCACGGCTGGGGCGTTGGGCTGTCTGACTTTGGTTTACGAGTACGCCCACTGCTGGTAGGCGTGCGTCTAATTTGTCCCGCTCCGCTGCTGTTTGATAAATAAGTTTAGTGGCACCAAACTGTCACGGCGCATGACTGGTTTGTGAGGCGCATGATTTGTGAACAACAGACCTGAAGTTCAATATATCTGTAGCTCCCGCACTCCCGATCCACCGTTTACACCGTGTGACCGCCTGTCCCCTTCTGTTGACAGGGAACCCCGTCAGGTGGCGCTGAGCAAAGCCTCCGGCCAGGGTCTGGGCTTCAACATCGTCGGCGGCGAGGAGGCCGACGGCATCTTCGTGTCGTTCATCCTCGCCGGCGGCCAGGCGGACCGGAGCGGACAGATATTCCGCGGCGACCAGATCCTCTCCGTGAATGGCACCGACCTCAGCAAGGCGACACACGAGCAGGCGGCCGCCGCCCTGAAGGTGAGAGTCGCCCGATGTCGAGAGCGGGCGGTGGGACGCGGATGACCACAGGGCCGCTTCCCGGGCTCCTTCTGCTTGATTCTGATATGACATTAGCATGACCTGTTACCCATTCAGTCAGTGTATCAATTATCCTGCCAGTTTTAGCGTTCTATCACTCTTACTCAAATATCCTGTCAGTTTGACATAGTATTCTGTCATTCTGTCTGGGTATTATATCACGATGTTCCCGATAGTGTCCTGTCAAGTTTGTATATGCACTATATCACACTGATCCTGATAACCCGTCAGCTTGGAAAGAGCTGGTAGGCCTTGTCGATCAATGGAAGTGTTCCAGCCATCATTGGTTTAACAAGGTCTGACCGTCTGATGTAGTCACGTTGCACGGTGGAGTTATTTATACGATGCTCTGCTCTGAAATCTTGTCATTTTGCGCGGTAGTTTGTTGTCAGTTTCGGAGAAGTAGCTATGATATAGAAATTGTCGTTTGTGTTTTATGATCGGTCCGCGTTCCGTAATGAATTCACTCATCAGTCATCACGTTATGAAGAATCTGGCAGAATCGTCGATAATTATGAACATCATCATTAATGACCTGTCGTTTCACATCGACTGGCCTCATCATTAGCTACAGGACGATCTCACGTGACCTGTTCACGTGTCAGTCAATTGATTGATCACTGACCGCGCCAGAAAAATGTCGCCGATGTATCAATGCTATGGAATTATATTTGCTGCACCTCTGTGGGATTTATTCTACTCTCTGGATGTGTTCCCGTTTTTAGCTGCGATTTTATTATACAAACAAACGCAAATCGGTGTGGGTGGGGGCGGAGTCATTAGGTGAACAATAACGGACGATCCCATCCACTATGGTCAGAGTATGTCGTCACCGGTCAGCGATTCATGTCATGTCCGCCAGCGATGAGGGCACTCCACCCAGACCTGGCTAGTAGGCTGGGGCGGACTAAGCACCATTTCCTGTGGGCAAGTGTTTACCAGAGCGCTCACACTGTTCTAAGCCGTCAAGGGGTAACAATGCCACACGAGTCGCCCATGAGAGCCGCGAAGATGACCATCGACATGACGCCCCTGCAGCGAGCAGCTTGACTATGACTGCCGCGAAGCTACATATGTTGGCAGTTGGCTGGCGCCGCACGGCCGACCGCCGGCCTCTCCCCCGTGGCGGCGCCGGAACAGCTGATACCCCAGGCTGTGGACACGTGCGACGCAGGGTGACCTAGATGAAACTGATGGTCCAGCGGGACATCACTGGAGCTGCAGATCTAGCCACTCGTTTTGGATGGCTACTTATGACCGACCCATGCTGGGCTCTGGAAGGGATTTTGCGCTGGAGAGCTCCACTGCTGGGCTGTATCCGCGGATCGATAGCCATTTACTGGGCTAAACTTAGAATCGACTCTCCCGAAATACATCGTGATGCTGGAATTTCAGCGTCGTTTACTACAGAAAAGTGTTCCTGTGTCAGCTTTATAAATAGACAGCCTTCGAAGGTGAATGGTGGGATTTTAGACCGCAAACATCATTGGTGGAAACGACGGATGTATAATGTAGTAACAATATTTAGCAATATTTATTTGGTTAGCAATATTTAGCGCGGCAATATTTGTGTTTCGCTGGCTAATTTGCCGCTGATATCATCTGAAGCAACCCTTTTAAATCACTCGGGGACTGACGCGATGGTCATGATGGCCATTAGACTGGCTGGGTCAGATGGCGGAGGAAGGCTACATTGGACGGTGGACGATGGAAGGTGAACGTTGGATAGTGGATAGTGGACGGGTGGACAGGTGATGGTGGACTGTGGATGGTTGATAATGGATAATGGATGGTGGATGATGGATAATGGATAGTGGACGCTTGCCGTTCACTGTGGACGGCGGGGACTGGATGGTGAATGCTAAACATCTGCTTTTGAACAAACGATGGCGGACATTGGATGGCTGACAGGCTCACTTTGAACAGTGCTCGTTATGAGCGGCAGACGACGTCACTGGATGGCTGACCGATCCACTCTATAGTGTGGGCGCTGGGTAGTATGCAGGTGGGCGGCGGACGGCGGTAGTGGTCTGATGGCTGACCGGTCCATACTGTCTAGTATGGACGCTGGGTAGTATGCAGGTGGGCGGCGGACGGCGGTAGTGGCCGTTGACAGTGATCACTACTCGTTGGACGGTGGCCCGTGACGGATGGAGCCAGCCGCCACCGGGAGCCACCAGTAGACTGATGACACCTCAGACCGATGACGCCTCAGACTGATGACACCTCAGACCGATGACGCTTCCGGCTGATGACGCCGCCGCTGGCCTCGGCAATCGGCAGTGATGGATCGCCACCGACGTCGGCGCCGCCGGAGTGGTCAGAGTGGGGGGATTCGAGGCAGAGTGGAGGGATTCGGGGCAGAGTGAGGTTCCGGGGGAGAGTAGAGATTCAGGGCAGAGTGTGAGGGATCCAGGGCAGAGTGAGGGATCCAGGGCAGAGTGTGAGGGATTGCGGCAGTTAGAGCTGGTTCATGGTAAACACCATGAACCAGTCATGGTGTCTGCGGCTTAGTGAGCTCGTCTATGGCAGAGTAGGGCTGTCTCTAGCAGAGTGGGTGAATCTGTCTCGTCTATATTTGGCTCACCTCTGACCGAGTGGACGGACTGAGTAACGTCTGTTTTGGCCAGTCGACGAGAATGGCCTGATTGTGGGGCAGACTGGTTTGATAGCCCTACAAACAAGCAGTTTACCTGCCCGCTGGGTAGAGTCCTCTCTCTCTCTCTCTCCCTCTCCCTGATCCCTCTCTCTCTCTCTCTCTCTCTCTCTCTCTCTCTCTCTCTCTCTCTTTCTCTCTCCTCTCCGCTCATCTCATGCCCACTCTTTGCGACACTGATGTCGGCACCACGCCGCCTGTGGACTTAGCGCCGGGCGGGCCGAGTGGCGGTCGGTCACCACTGCAAAGCGCAGTTGACCAGCACTGTGGCCCTACTGGGCCCAGCCGATGACCAATGGCCGTGGTATGTTCGAACCGTGACCGGTCCGGATGGCTCCGGATCATTCCGGACCGCTCCGGCCCGCTCCTCCGGCTCCGGGCGCTCCTGTGCTCTGCCCTGTATACGTTCCGTCCCAGTGCACCGGCCGACCGAGCGGTTCCCTACATGTCCTGTCCGAACTGTGAGTGGGTGGTGGCCCTCGGGTCGCGGCGACCGGTTTATTTACGGCTCCGAGACTCGCTCACCGACCGTCGGCCGCCGGTGTTTATACGAGAGCCCCCCCCCCCCTGTGCCCCCCTCGACGCCGCCGTCCGTTTCATCCCATCCATCCGACCGTCCCTCGGCCCGTCGGTCGGACAGTTTTCCAGTTTCCAGGCTGGCGGCTTGTTTGTGGCCGGTCTAACCCGTCGGTGTTTCGTGCCCAGGCCGGTCGGCGTGCCGTGCTGTTAGGGAGTTGTCTGACGAAGGGGTGGGGCGCCAGCGCTGTAAGCAACCACCATGGAGTGTAACTGTGTGTCCGTCTGCCTGCACAGGGAGCCGGCCCGCTGGTCAGTCTCTGTCTCCAGTACCGGCCCGAGCAGTACAACCGATTCGAGGCCAAAATTCACGAGATTAAGCAGATGATGTCGGGAACTCTGCGTACCACGCAGAAACGGACGCTCTACGTCAGGTATGTACGGCCGAGTGTGTTCCGAACTGCCAGGGTTTTGGGCGCTGTTTAGTGTTTTGTGTTTTCGTATCGTTCGGCATACCTTGTACCGCTGATAACTACTTAGCTGATCGCTGCTAGTTACTTCATGTATCACCTGGTTGAGGATGCCTTGGATTTTATGTCTTCTGTGGTGCTTCGTGTGCCGCGGCTGCCGCTGTTTATACTGGGAATGGCCGTGGCCCACTCTGCTCTATTGGCCTGGCCCACCGCTCCACCCATATCAGTGTGCGTGCGTCGCCGCGTGCCGTATCGTATCAGCTGCACACGGGGAGCGCCACCGACTGCCTGCGTGCAGTCGGAGGTGTCATATCGTGAGCGTGACGGGCGCGCCTGACGCGCGCTGGGTGGGGCCACTGCGTGTCGGCGCCCACCGGTGCCGTAATGTGCCGGCTGAGCCTGCTGAAATGGCTGGTTCGTGCTCTTCCGCATTATGGCGTGTTCGTTATGTGCTGATTGAGGACCTTACATGTAGGGATTAGGACACTTTGTGTGAGAAATTATTATTCTATGGAGTAATATACACATATTTGTAAGAAGCTCCGTATTTATTTTTCATCAGCGCTTTTTTACTTGCAGACCGCTTACGAGTATGCATGATTTGTCAAATTACCCATGTGTCTATGTGGCTAATCTGTGGCGGTAATTGCCGTGGCGATTGAATGCCCTTACTAGCCACTTTGACGCCGCCTGTCCCGTCTCTGACCCAGCGTCTGACCCCGGCAGGGCGCTGTTCGACTACGACCCGCGCATGGACGACGGTCTGCCGTCGCGCGGCCTGCCGTTCTCCTTCGGCGACATCCTGCACGTGACGAACGCCAGCGACGATCAGTGGTGGCAGGCGCGCCGGCTGACCGCCCAGGGCCAGCCGCAGGCGCTCGGCATCGTCCCGTCCCGAGGCCGCTGGGAGAAGAAGATGCGCGCCCGTACACGGACTGTGGTCTTCCACGGACGCGCTCACGATATGGTGAGTTGGAGACACCGATTCCCGTACCGTACCTTTTGGATGGCGAGTAGTGGGAGACCGATCGATCTCAATTCCGTAGCTAACCAACCATGTGGTGACCCAGGGGTTTGTTTGTCGTATCACTGGATGATAAGGCAGGATGACCTGTTGTTTGGGATATTTCAGCCCCCGATTGAAATGCATAAATTACATCTCTGTTATGCTGCAGCGTTCCTATCGTCCATATGAATCCTCACAACGTACGCGAATGTGCGTTGTGAAGCCCTATGCCCTCTGCCACTGGCTATTGACCTGTCTCGGCGCCCAGCCGTGCTGCTGGTGGACGCCCGTCCCACCCGCGGTCGAAGGCCCGGCGCTCGTTCATTAGTGCCATTTCATAATTAGCGCCATTGAGCGCTGAATGTAGGTGGTTAATGACATGTTAGCCATTTTGCACATATTAGCTCGGATAATAGGGTAATTAGCTTGGGTAATAAGCTGGGTACACGGACAATTTCAGTGTTCCTTCAGCGGTTGATTGTCGTTATGGTTCATCTCAGTTGGGGAAGAGCCGCGATGGATATCTCATGTCGGCGACAGAAATGGGATGTGAGCAGACTTTATAGGGTTGCTATGTTTATATGCTTCTTGCTTAGAGGACGAAGCGACTTTTTTCGATCCAACCTGAAATGTGTAGTTTTATAGGTTGTGATTGTCGAGGTTTATGTTGGTTATTTAGCGGTGCTATTTCTTTTCATTCTATATAAATCACGCACCTGCCTGGATATTCTTTACACTCCCATTACCAATGGAACCAGGTGTTTTCGACCATTGCATGCGTATGTCGCCAGTGATGTGTTTGTTGCGGCCAGCTGGTCTGTGTGTCCGTCTTTACTCTTTGACCTTCTCCCTCCCCTCCTCCCATGCTGCAGTCAACTCTGGAGCGGAAAAAGAAGAACTTTTCGTTCTCGCGCAAGTTTCCGTTCATGAAGTCGAAGGAGGATGTAAAGTCGGACGATAGTTCCGACAATGACCGTAAGTGGAGCCGCTCCGCCGCCATCTCAGCCGCTCGTGTCATCTTCCCTTGGTGGCCGTCATCGGTCCTTTAGTCCATTCTTACAATTTTACAGAACTTCGCTAATGCTGTGTCATTTTCACATTTGTTTTAATTTATTCTCATTGCATTGAATGGGGGCTGAATGTGCATGGTTGAGGGGGATGGAGATGTGGCATACTCATTGATGTGTATACTGTGTTATGATATTTTCGCACCTGTTCCCGATCCAACCCGAATAATGGCTCTCTCAAGCTTGCAGTCACCCGAGTGACCACCTCACCTGCCCTCCTGTTCTCTACGGACAGCGCGCGCTCCTGCCGCTCCTGTGTGTCCTGCCCCTGCTCCTGGTCCGGCTGCGGGCGGGCTGCGCGGTCGACTGCGCGGCCGGCCGATCCCTCTGCTGCCCGACCTGCCGGCCGCCGCTCGGCACCGCTCGGGCTCCGCGAGCTCACTGCTGCGCCTGGTGCCGCAGCTGCCGCGCCTGCTGAGTCGCCGCCGGGCCCGCTCCGCCTCCGGCCTGTTCTCCTCAGTCACATCCCTGGCCTCCAACGGTAAACAGTGCCGACATCTGACCGGGTAAACCTGACCTGGACCGGACCTGACCTCACCTGACCTGGGACCGCATTGGTCTTACCTGACATCGGGAACCCAACTAGATCTGACCTTATCCCGAGCAAAGCCCATCAAACCATAGGATGCTGACCGTCGCTGAATTGGACCGCTCGCTGACGCTCTCATCGCCGACGCTCATGTGTCCTGACCGCACCAGCTGTTTCACTCTGAATTGATTTTTGCTTCTAATTGACCTGTTGTGGATAATACTATGATGTGATAGTTCATCTGCTGTACCATAATGTGGTTGCTTATGCAGTGTATCGGCTGCGGTACGGTTACCTGGGACGGCCTCAGTTTCTCACCATCCATCCCGTCCCCGCGGCACTGGCGCCCTTTAGACCGGGCTCAGTTCACCTCCGCTGATGTATACCGCCGGCGGCTATTGTGGACGATTGATCGCACCTGCCGCGGCCGGCGGACCGCGCTCAGCGCTCTATGGGGTGCAATTTGCCGGTCACAGGGTTCGCCGCACCGCCAGGACGTGGCGGCCTGTCTCCATGTGGACCGTGAATGGACGCTCAGTAGTCTGACCAATGGTCGTCGCTTTGAGAGAATGTAGCTCACACGTTCGGTGTTTTTTATTCCAAATTATTTTCTTGTTCCCAGGTAGCTGCTAAGCATGTTAAGCTTGGAGTTAGCCGATGTTATTGCATTCAATACAAAGTGCTAACGGAGGTCCAAACGTTATATTTGACATTTCCTGTGGATTACCTCTTATTGCGCCCCGGTAACTACCAGCTATATCCATGCCGTTAGCTACCACTGGCCAGAATGGTACCCGCGGGTACGCTGTTTTACGCGATGAGTGGTCACCTGGGGTCGGTTTGGTCTGACGGCGCTCGGCCGTCCGTCTAACCCCGCCCGTATTACCGCAGTACCCGCCCGCTATCGACTGAGTCGTCCGTCGGTCGGCGGCGCGCCCCGTCTATTTTACGGCGGCTGGCGGCCCGTTAGCGCTCGTAGCCGTCCGTCCCAGGTGGCCACCCGTCTGCTGCTGCTAGTGGGCGGTCGTGGACAAAGAGGCGGCTCATCCTGTTACCTTGTTACCGTGCCGTTACCCTGTTAGTCGCCGTGTAGTCGATGAGTCGCCGCTGCTGTTACCTTGTTACCGTGGTAGTTTCTGAAGAGTCCTTTGGGCCGAACTGATCAGGCAGGCTACATTGTGCCGCACAGACCAGTATGGGCTTTGTGATGGGTAAAGTCTCGGAGCTCTGTGGAGTATCGACTAACTGAATAACCAACTTTGACTAACTCATTGACTGAGGGACTGGTTGGGGAAGCGACATTCCGTGTAGTGAAGCTGTGCTACCGTATGTGAAATTGAAGGATCCCTAACATGAAAGGCTGCCGTGGGACTTTTATTCATAGTGCCTTTGATAGATGCTCTACAACTACTCTATACAACAACTATACAACTGTACTGTTATACAGCGGTATGTTCGTTAATTGTTTATCGGGCTCTGTGTATAATTACGGAGCGAGCGAAGCGAGCGGAGTCTTACGTAGAATAACGGAAATTTCTGAGTATGAGCGGGCCGGCCGGCCGCTTCATTCCTTCTACCAAGTATTGGACTATTCCCGATGCATGTGGGTGACCCCTTATGCACGTGCCACGTGCAAAACGAAGAGGTGTCACTTTTGTAATTGTTGCAATATCTCGGTAACTACTGGGCCGATTGCGCGGAAAGTTGGCATGTAGGTAGGCACCCACTAGGCAATGCATATCCATGTGCCAGATTTGGGGTGCTGCTGCACGTGCACACGTGCAGGGGTCGATTCCAGATCTCGAGAACGGCTGGACCGATGGCGCTCAAATTTGGTACATGACTAGGGACCGGTTAGTAGGGTGCCGTGCAAAAGTCAGTTGGGACCCATTTTGCACGTGCGCACGTGCAGGGTGCCGCTTCCAGATCTCGAGAACGGCTGGGCCGATTGTGCTCAAATTTGGCACATCACTAGAGACCGGTTAGTATGGTGCCGTGCACAAGTCAGCTGGAGGTACCCCCTCGAAATTTCGCACGTGCAAGGCTCACCCTCTCGCTCGCTCCGTTAGTCGCCCCAAAAGGCGTTATACTGGTTGTAAGTAAGTAGCTGTGCCCTTCCTCACTGACAGCCTGCTTTCATTTACCTACCCGTCGCACTGCCGCGGCCATCTTCCCAGTCGAATCAGAAGGCTCTGACCCACCTCTGTCTTCGGCACACCTCTCTGACCGTCCCCTGTCCTTTGGTAGACCCTCTGACCGACTCCTTTTATGATAGACTCTGACCCTTCTCCTGTTCTCGGCAGAATCTCTGATCAGCCCCGCTTCCTCTACAGACTCGCTGACGACGACGGCCTCGGAGCCGGAGGAGCGGAGCGTGCCCGAGGAGCCAGTGCTCTCCTACGAGCCCGTCCAGCAGGTAGAGGTCAGCTACTGCCGGCCCGTCATCCTGCTAGGACCACTCAAGGACCGCATCAACGACGACCTCATCTCGCAGTACCCGGAGGATTTCGGCAGCTGCGTGCCGCGTGAGTTGGCCACCTGTGGCATACGAGTAGACCACCGGTCACCACCCGTCAGAGGCCACTCGCCGCTGGCTGCCCTCTGCCGGATGGGGCAGCTCGTATCGTGGTAGATGGCAACTCGACGGCACAGTAACGTAATTTCAGACTTCTTCGGTGCCATATGATGTATTGAGCTCTCACATCACAAGCGTAAGAGAGCAGAATTCACATTTCTGTCACCATAACTCTGCAGTCTTTAGGTCGCTTATACTACCACATACTGCGATGACCCGGCTGTGGTATGTACGTAGCCCGCCACTAGCACAATGCAGTGGTGTTCAGTAGTTCGCGCTACTGCCCTCCCTCGTATTGTAGAACGGTGTCTCCGCCAGGTCTCCCGCGTCGGTGACTGACCTTCCCTTCCCCGTTGCAGACACGACGCGGCCGCGCCGGGAGGACGAGGTCGACAGTCGCGACTACCACTTTGTCGAGTCTCGGGAGCAGATGGAGCGCGACATTCAGAACCACCTGTTCATCGAGGCGGGACAGTACAACGATAACCTGTACGGCACCAGTCTGGCCAGCGTGCGGGAGGTGGCAGAGGAGGTGAGGAGAGGGTAGAGAGGGAGGGAGGAGGTGAGAAAGGAGGGAGATAGGAAAATGAAATAACTGACGCTCATAGGGTTAACGAATTGATGGAATAACGGAATGGGAAATTGAGGGAAAATATCTATGGAGGTGGAAGGGTGGAGGATGAGTGACAACTCTCTAGCGCATGGGCTTTTTTTTCCAGGTGTCTTCTCAGAACCTACAGTGTTCTCTCCTGCTGTCATTCAGGGTTCTATTCAATCCGCTGTCTTGTCTCCTACCTTCATTTAGAATATACGGGCTCCTGCTCCACCGGAACGTATGAATGTGCTCCAATTTAAATCGTTTCTCTGGTATCACACTCCACCATCTCTCAGTTTCGTGTCTTCCTGTCGTATATACCCCTCCCGTTCAGCGTTGTTCCCGCTGACCCTCGCTCCCCTTCCTGTTCCGTGCCCACAGCAAAGGAAGCACTGCATTCTGGACGTGAGTGGTAACGCCATCAAGCGGCTGCATGTGGCTCAGCTGTACCCGATCGCCATCTGCATCCGGCCTCGGTCGGCAGAACAAGTCATGTGAGTGGCGGACGGTGGGGGGGGGGGGGGCAAAGTACGGAGCGGAGGGACGAAATGTGAATGCTGGGTGTAGGCTGGAATCGTGTGTACTGTGTAGTTCCAGCTAAGAGTGACTGAGTCCTGTGGTTGCTAGCATCCAGCGGATGATGAGTAGCTAGCTGGACTGTTACAGTTTTCTGGTCAAGAGGTTAATCACATTTTTTTCGTTCACCGGTGTTATTTTCACATTGATTAAACGGGCAGTGTAATTAACTTACATACAACGCTAAAATACGAATATGACTTTGTGTGGAGGCTGAGGGGACGCTGGGTAATGTTGTTCTCCGAGACGGTCCCCTAAGTGAATGCATGTTGCTGTTCACAGGGAGTGGAATAAGCGACTTACAGAAGATCAAGCCAAAAAGACGTTTGAGAAATGTCAGAAAATTGAGTCGGAATTCGGCGAGTACCTCACAGGTAGGAGGCCGACTAGAACGTCTGGGTGTGCTGTTTTGCACACTTTTCCAGGGCATGTCACGAGTGGAGAACGGTTTCCATGTATTAGATAACCGCAATACTCTAATTTTATTTCGTTCCTTTGTTCCGTGTCTTCTTTTGAATAATGTTCTTTTATTGTTCAGTGCCTTGTATACGTCCAAGCCTTTCTGTAGGCCTGCAGTATTGCCGTAGTTTTGCTCTGTCCTGGGCCTCGTTTCATAAAGCGAGTCCGTAACTTTCGCCGGTTTTTGGTCTTGTATTGCAAGTGCATGTGAAGCGATGACGATAGTTTGAATCGCTGAATTTCTTTATTTTGCAAGCAAGAACAGAAGGGAGAAGGGGAAATAAATTTATCGCTTCACATGCGCTTGCAATACAAGTCCAAAAACTGCCGTAAATTACGGACTCGCTTTATGAAACGAGGCCCAGATGGCTGGATGTTAATGTACCCGTGGCGCCGTTCGATGAATTCGGTCCCACGACCTCAGTGCGCTAACCTCTGCTCCGTTCTGCCTCCAGCGATCGTCTCTGGCGACACCCCTGAGGAGGTATACGAGAGGGTGAAGGACGTCATCCGCGAACAGGGCACCAACAGGATCTGGATACCCTCCAAGGAGAAACTCTGAGCGGTGGAGCGTCCTGCCGCGAAGCCACACCGAATCTCAGCAGCGAGCGGGGCGGCCGGCGCTCCAGCAGTGACGGCCTGTGCTCCAAAAGTGTCTGATGTCACTTGAACGGGGCGGCTGACGCTCAAACAGGGGCGCTCTGGCCTCCAACAGGGACAACTGGCGCCCCGAGAGGGGCCTCAGACGCTCTCGCTGTGACGACTGCCCGGCTGCCCGGCGGCGGTGTCCGCTCAGTGTCGGGACCGCAGTGCAGTGTCCGTGCTGCTCACCAGAGCTGAACTCTCGGCGGCCATAGAGACTGGACGCTCGGCCGTCCGCCCCGGCATCCCACTCACACATCGCCAACTGTACATAGTGTATTCGTAGTTCTCATTCATTTCTAGTTATTTATATTTTAGCGTGGCGGCGTCGGCGCAGCGTCGCGTGCCGGCAGCCTTCAGTTGTGCAATCACAGTCATATGCCGGTCGACTGGACTCCGGTGACCTGACCCGGGGAGGTGGGGGAGCGTGTGTCACGTGACTCGCCTCCCCGGGCGGGGAAGGAGGACCGGGGAGCGGCGGGCGTGTGTTGATGTGTAAATATACACAACCATGCGAGACAACGTGGTGTGGTGCTGTGAGGGGATCGTGCCGGACAGAGGAAGAAAAGGCAGACAACAGGCAGACGGACAGACAGCGGTTTTAGTTTAATTGCTAATGATGATTCATGTTTTTTGTCTCGCTTTGTCGGAAAATAAGCTTTTTGACCAGGCAAGCTCTTAGCAAAGTTAACCCACCAGCAAAATGCTGATCAACACATGAATGTAACTGTTCCTTCGTAGCGATGAGTATAGGAGGTGGTTGGATAGTTTGCGCAGTTAGTGCAGTCTCTGGAAGTTGGTGCGGCTGGTGCCTTCTGTAGCAGCACACCAGTCCCTCAGACGTCCGGCTGGTGCACCTGGTGCAGCTGGAAGACGGCCTCTGGACCCGGCTCGGCGGGCCGCACCAGCACCGCTCGGTTCTCCACGCACAGGTACTGGCCGATATGACCCGCTGGAACGCGGAGAACGGAGCGGTATTTCAGTGCGGGGCTGTACAAAACAACTCCTCGGAACAAAAGCGTTACCAGGGGCGTTAAAACTTCAGCCATCTAACGGCAGATATATGTGTATCTCTATTCTCTAGCCATGTGGGGGCAGCACATACACGGGTGTATTTGAGGTAGTGCGGAGACCTTGCAAGTACTCCTTGACTATGTGGTCCAACATCGATTCAAGCGCCCTTGCTTTGCGGCAGGAGACTGGCACCTCTGGGCTATGCGGTACAACATACATTCAGGCGCATACTACACCGTTCCGAGCTTCTATCCTCAGGATACTGAAATCCTTCTCCTCCACGCCGCAACCCCCACTCCGGGCTGGACAGGCAACTTTATCTCATGCGGGCTGCTCCCTTGGAGCGGCACCGCTGCTCCCGAGGGAGCGCACCCCGTAGCCGGGTGCAGTGAGTGCCTTGGGGCTGGGTGGCCTGTCCTCTGGACGGGCTCAGCCCCGGCGACTCACTAGGGTGCCTGCCCAGACCAATGTCTCCCCCTTTATCCTATCATCCTCCCGGCTCTGAAATGGTCTTGCCAGACCGAAAGGGCCTAACCCAACAAAACAAATAAACAAACAAACAAGCATTACTACTAGAGCCATCTAGCGGCAACTGGAAGCATAACTGGGCTGTGCGGTACAGCATACATTCAGGCGCATTACTACTAGAGCCATCTAGCGGCAATTATGGAAGTATACCTGGGCTGTGCGGTACAGCATACATTCATGCGCGTTACTACTAGAGCCATCTAGCGGCAATTACGGAAGCATAAGTGGACTGTGCGAGCCTTGGCTGGGCACCTAATCCATGGCTGGGCGGTACAGCATACATTCAGGCGCATTACTACTAGAGCCATCTAGTGGCGAGTATGTAAGCAAATCGTGCGGTACAGCATACATTCAGGCGCATTACTACTAGAGCCATCTAGCGGCAGAAAAGTAAGCATATCTGAGCTGTGCGGTACAGCATGCATTCAGGCGCGTTACTACTAGAGCCATCTAGCGTCGATTATGGAAGCATATCTGGGCTGTGCGGTACAGTATGCATTCAGGCGCTTTCACTGGCACTAGAGATCTCAAGGAAGTAAGCGCGTGGGATTGACCTGTCCGGTAAACTTGTAAAAAAAAAATGTGGACCTCTCAATGGCTTGATTTGAGTTCACTGATGAAGGATTTCAGACCGCATTCAACAAATTCGCATCATGCACAAAATGAAACATCTGTCATCATTTTTGTGTGTGATATGCAGCAATATATTCGAATGAGCACTTATTTTTGAATCTATGGAATACAGACAAACACACATTTTATATCCATATGCAAACTGACTGGCATGAGGCTCTACATAATTCTGGTACTAGCTGTTTTCCCTGGTATTGTGGTTTTGAATTATTGGTAAAGCGTGATCAATACATTATACACGACCTTACCAGTACGATGAACCTGGACCCACCTGTGAGGGTTTCCAGAGTGACTCTGCCATCTGCCCCGGCCGGCCGACTGAAGAGGCACCTGGCGTCGGCCACCGTAACCTGGTCTCCGGTACTCAGGCCAGTCCCCTTCTGCGACATCGTATTGAGGAACACAGCGTTTGTAAATAAACTCGGTAAGGCAAAAACTCCAAAATCTGTTCAAAAGATGATCAATATCAAACATGTATGTACGTCCAATCACTTCTCAGTGCTAATGCATCATTGATACCTAATTCAGTGAGCGAGAAGTTCGATAAATCACAATATATCACGATAAATCTGTCATGGTGTCTGGCACATACACAAATACCATTATGTATCCCGTCGAACCCTCCTGGCCGTTCTACGGGGATATTTGCTAAAAGTTAAGGGACTCACCGAGACGCAGGAGGCTGTGCCGCCGCAGCTGCTGACGAACTGGCCGTCCGGGGTCTCCAGAATCCACGTCGGTACCGAGTACGGGTCATGGGTGCGGTACCGGTGTACCCGGAACACGGTACCGTCCCCTGACGGGTACACGGTACACAGGTCAGGCAGTGTTGGGCAGACTAACCGTGTCATCTCTGCGCGCTGCAGCATCTATGCTGGGACTTATAATAAAAGATGCGACAAGTCCCATTCGGTAGAGCTCATGATTAGTCTCATCATGTGGAGAAAGCGAGTGAATGTTGTTACTTATGATTTCATGATGAATTCGGCATCATCATCTCTTGAACCTATCCCGAGCGCTCATCCAGGTCCAGGTCCATCCATCATCCAAAAATCCCCCCGACCATGCCGGTCCAGAGTTGCGGCCAAGCGTACCCACCCTCGTTCTGACGGGTGCAGAGACGGCTGCGGCCGGCCAGCAGTGACGTCACCGCCAGCCAGCTGTCTGAGGTCACGTGACGGACGCGCCCCCGTAGCGTGTCGGTATGAGTTAGGCCGACCTCGGCTGCCGCACGCGCAGTGACCTCAGAGAAATGCACCTCTGATGAAAAATAAGAGTTGTCAGCTACAAGGCTGGTACATATGGCGCTAACTCACGGTCCCGAATAGCATCATAAGCACACGTCTATGTAGTTAGATATTCCGAGAGTGGAATAGTTAAACCTACCTTGCCACATACCTACATACTCCATACATTTTTTTTCACTCACGTCTTTTGCTGGCTGTGTAGGAGAGGCGCGCTCTCAGAATGCGGGTGAAATGTACCGCCTGCTCGGCTGTCCTACTGCCGGGACGGCGGGTCCGCTCCACCAGCTGCCGACAGTGGTATCGGCACACGAATGAAGATGAAAACGAGTGTATGTAACACACGCACAGACATAACCATCTCATTTCTCATAACCATATCCATAGAGACATAACCAACCATCTATAAATCTGTCTCAACATACCGTGAGTGATCGCAGCCTGCAGTGAGGTAAAGATATAGGGCTGCTGATGGGAAATACGACCCAGCGGCCGGGCGACCCATCCAGGAGAGACCACGTCATCTACTGATAGCAGGCCACCCGACTCTCATAAATGTGAGATTCCTGCGAGTCGTCATTGATACCGTGCGCTCACGCCTGAGCGGTATCGTAAATTGGTCCAAACTGCGCCACAAATCGGCTTCAGGCTGCAATCATCTCATAATACCGCGTCTTTACGTAATTGTCTTTCGCTCTCAATTTCTCGAACCTGTTCCTAGTTGTGCTATAGTCGTTCATGTGATCACATAACTGTCCAATAAAAAGGTAAATGAAATCGTATATTCTCATTGTCCTGTAATACCGATGCCAGAGCAGGAAATAAGAGAACAAATGCTCTATGCTCTGGGCTCAAAAGAACTTAATATCGGTGAAAAGTGAATGGGCTGCAATGGGGCTTTCGTATGATGTTATACGGCCTTAGCATGGATGATATAACACTGGATTGGTGTCTCGTGGAAATTAACATTGGGATCCGCGACATTGGGATCAGGCCTGCCATCTAGCGAGATAATTATCGTAAGTTAGGAGCAAGCCGAGTGAACGCCATCTCTCAGCATTATGACACACGTGGGTGTGGTGTGTTAGTTGGCTTGAAGTGCATATTCCCACGAGTTGGAGGTAATCTCACTGGACCTGAGACGACAAAAGCGTCTTAAATGCTTGAAAGCCAAAAACGTCAAGCAGCCTTTAGGTAATAACGAAAATAAAATGCGTAAGACGGTGTGTATTGAAACGCCCAGTACCATCGGCTTGTACGACCTTTTATATGGTCATTTACTCACAATGGTACAGCAGTTTAACAATATGTCACTTACATATTTGGTAGGCTTATTCCTTCTTCTCCGAATTTCGCCCGATTTTCTTCATCTTAGTTAATGTTACGGGCCGGCACGTGTCACGTGCCAACTTAGGGGTGTCGAAATTGTTCCACATAAAGTAACTCCGCAATGGCTGGGCCAATTACAGTAAAACTTCGTCAATAGTTAGGCACTCAGTGGCCAATGCATTTCCATGTGTCACTATGGGGGTGCTACTGCACGTGCGCACGTGCGGGGTGCCGCTTCCATATCTCAAGAACGGCTGGGCGGATAACACTCAAACTAGGTACACAAATGTCACATCGATGCTCGCACTGCATTGATCAGTGCTTACATTGGTGCAGAGCTGTTAGGAAAACGATGAAATGAGATGCGTGGTGTTTATGCCTTTTTTCCAGCAGCTGATTGATTCGCAACAGGAGATCCTTGTTTGCGAAGGCTTCGTCTCCCTTTTCCACCCCTTGTTTAAAATAACATTAATTAACAATGTACGAAGAAGATCACACATAAAAGTTGTTTTAGGCGGCTATCTTGGGCCAGGGCTGCGAAGTTGTAGTCAGAGCCAGCGGTTCTGTTCCGACTCGGAGTCGGTTGATTTTTAAAAGCTGTAGGCCGAGTATGAGTCGAACGTCACCGAAAAGTCATCACTCCACAGACTTACCAGGGCTGCAGAGTCGGAGTCAGAGTCGGAGTCTGTGTGAATTGACAGTTCTGCCCGGAGGAGTCGGAGTCGATATTTGGATAACGGAATCGGAGTTGGAGCCATTGAGTTACCGAAATTTCATCGACTACGCACCACCGGTTGGGTCCTTTTCATAGAGCGTCTTGAATGACATATTGAGCGGCAATGACGTTAGCAATTCCGTTTAAGTTTTTCATTAGACTTATAGATAGTACTTACGTTCGTTTTGTACTTTGATCGGACAATTTGTTTGATTTAGGCCAAGTAAAGACTCATGTGAAAAATAGCGAAAACGACACGTGCTGGCGAAGTCTCCAATAACTCCCTGTTTCACGATTTAATGAGGAAATAACATGGAACTGCTTATCTTATTACTGACCCCGCACATAAATCTATTAATTTCTTCGCTTTTACTGACATATAAAGACATAACCTTTTGAAAAATTGCACAACAAGCCTGCTACTACACCACACTCCCGTGTGTCACAATGCTAATCAGCGGCGTTCACTCGGCTTGCTCTTTACTTACGACAATTCTCCCGCTAGATGGCAGGCCTGAGCTCAATGTCGCCAAAAACTGCGAAGACACCAATCCATTATTATCTCATCCATGGCCTTAGCATCAGTTGACGACGCTGATTTGGGGATCTTTAAGGAAAATACAGTGGCAATGTAGACTAGACCTGAATGTGCCAAGCATCTTTTCTGCTTATTTTTGAATGTTATAATGTTTAATTAATGAGTAATTAGGCTGGAGCTACCCAGGATCTTCGCTCTCAGTAAGGAAGGAGGATTTTTAATTACGGACTGACCATTGAGAAGGGCTGCCAGAAGTTGGCCCGTGACGTGCCACGGCAGCCTGGTGTCCTGGTCGGTGCCAGCGGGATGGACAGGAAGAACGAGGCCAGCGCCGCGTGGCCCCAGCCGGAGACGGGCACTCCGTTCACCTCCAGCAGTCGGTCCCTGGCCCTGTCACAGAGAATCACCTATCCGTGCTTCTATCCTCAGGATACAGAAATCCTTCTCCTCCACGCCGCAACCCCCTACCGGGCTGGACAGGCAACATTATCTCATGCGGGCTGCTCCCTTGGAGCGGCGCCGCTGCTCCCGAGGGAGCTGCACCCCGTAGCCGGGTGCAGAGAGTGCTTGGGGGCTGGTCGGCCTGTCCATTTGGACGGGCTCAGCCCCGGCGACTCTCTAGGGTGCCTGCCCAGACCAATGTCTCCCCCTAATTCCTATCATCCTTCCGGCTCTGCAATGGTCTTGTCGACCGAAAGGGCCTAACCCAACAAAACAAAAAACAAACAAAAAAAATCACAGAGAATCACGGGCTCAGCCCCGGCGACTCACTAGGGTGCCTGCCCACTGCCCAGACCAATGTCTCCCCCTATATCCTATCATCCTCCCGGCTCTGAAATGGTCTCATTGGACCGAAAGGGCCTAACCCAACAACAAAAAACAAAACAAAAACAAAAACAAAATCACAGAGCATCGACGTCAGAACTCAATGATAAGGCTGGCAAATTAAAAATCGAAGTCCTGAGGCTGTCAATAAAAGATGCTGGAGATAATTATGAAGCTCTATGAGAAATCAGTCACATGCCTTGGTAGATGAAGTTTAGATGTCTCTACTCTACCGAAGCTAGAGTTGAATTTACCATTTACTATTTACGAAGCGCCTTCCCTTTTCCACATGGTAGCGAGGGTCGGTGATGGACCGGCGTGCCTCGTCTGACCTGAGCTGCAGCTGGGACGAGCTGACGAGCGAGTCGGCCTTATAGACGGTGTGCTGCCCGGCCGTGTCGGTGGCGATAAACAGACCGAGTCCGAGGGCCTGCGACGGGTCGGAGCAGTGGGCCGGCTCGGTCAGCCGCGCCTCCCACACCACCTTACCGCGGATCCTGATCTGGAGAAACAGGAGAACAGGGACCTTACCAGAGACCTTACCGCGGATCCTGATCTGGAGAGGAGAGAACAGGGATCTTACCGTGGATCCTGATCTGGAGAGACAGGACAGAGACCTTACCGCGGATCCTGATCTGGAGAGGCAGGAGAACAGGGACCTTATCCCGGATCCTGAATGGAGAGACAGGGGAGCAGAGGCCTTACCGTGGATTCTGATCTGATCTGAGGAACAGGAGAACAAGGATCTCACCGGATACCGGATATCCTTATCAAAAGGAACAGAAGAATAGTATCAATATCTGTCGCGATCGGTCTGTCGTGACGCTGACACATCACCATCCTCCCTCAAACCACCTAACCTGCAGATCCTGATATACTCCGGTGTCTGGGTCCGCCTCTGGCTTTTCCATTCCTACCTGCTGGATCCGCCTCTGGCTTGAATTTTTCCTGACGAGTGCCGCTTTGGCGTCGGTCCGATGCGGCTGACCGCTTGGACTTGACTCGGTCTCGGTCCCTACCCCCTCCAGCTGGTCAACAATCACGATAGCGTCCTCGTGCTCCGCGTCGTCGGTGAAGAGGTCCTCGTCGGTCGCTTCGTCGCCGATCGTGATTGTGGCGACGTTGACGACGAGGTCGTCCAGAGAGCTGAGTCGGGGTCGCGCCATCACGGAAGGGTCACACTGCTGCGGGACACAGCCAGGGCGCCGCTGCTTGCTGCTCGATGTTCGTCCACTGATGTTTTGTCACCTCACCAAGATACGCGTGCCGGAACGATCGCTGCGACTGTGACTGTAATAACCCAACTTTGACTGTGACTACTTGCACTACATAATATAACCGATATCCGGTCAACTATTTTCCCTCTCAGTGGGTGTCCTACCACACTTCTCTGACACCCTCCCGCTGACACACCACCGCGTATGACGCGTCCGGCAGACCGCCGCGCCGGTCAGCGGAGACGGAGCACGGACGGGGAGCTATCAGACCTGCTTCCTGTCTGCGGGCTGACACAGCGCCGTCAGCGGCCCAAACACGGCTTAACTCGTGCTGTACTTACGCCGTAGGAATGCTTATTCTTACAAACGAGAGAGTTCGAGGCGGGTCTTCTCTACGACAAAAAACAGCAGACCCACCTTACCTTACCCCATTTGTCACATTTTTGATAAGCTTCGCAGTTCGCAACCCTGCATTCGTGTGATTGACAGCAACTAGGTTTTATCTATGTAGCCTCATTCTCTTTTATTATTAGAAAGATTACCTACTTTTAATGTATCTGTTGAACTCCACAGAATGTGCCACCACGTGCCAATGCAGAAGTTTAAACATTGTTACTTTTGCAATATAACTCCGACGAAATGATTGGGCTAATTGCCCTGGAACTTTGAATACGTCTTATTATTAAAACTCACCCGGCGAAGAATACCTAATGTGTCACCATCAGAGCAGTACTATACGTGCTCATGAGCCGGACTCATAATTACCTAACATCCCAAATATAAAATTCCCAAAACGGGCTGGATCGAATGCCTCCAAAGTTGCGGTACGCCGCCAGGGACCGGCTGTCGCCTATATAAACACAATACACATCATGCGCTGCTTCTCGGTACATTTATCTCGAGAATGGCTGAAAATGTAGCGTTCAAACTTGCTATGTGATGTTGTCGGCTCGATAGGTGACCTGAAGGGATATAAATGCCGCTTAGCGCCTTAGCGTGTCATCATCATCTAGGAACGCTCATGATGCGCTTTCAGATTTTTATGCATCTACTTCGCTTGTTAGTTCATCCTCTAATTCATCTAAAGAACATAAGGGATGGCATAGGTATGCATAGGTATTGGCGACGTGCGGAATAACTTTTAACCAATTCTAGCTCCAATAGACGACATCGTTTGAGCGGTTTTCTAATTGTGTTGGGTGGCATGACTGAAAGCTGCCCTGTTGTCCCGTTTCCCCGCAGGTGACATATCCGGCGCTGTTCTCACAGGTTGTGTGCAAGGTGAAGGTCAACACTGGACTATCGGGACGGACGGCCGTGCCGGTGCTAAAATCAATGGTCGTGTCACGTCGGCCGCCGACCGGTTGCCATGACAACGGCTGCGCGCGGCTGCGCTGGTCCGGTCGATGGGCCGTGCCGCCGTCGCCGCCGGCGGAGCCGTATCGGTGGTGTCTGGCGGTCAGCGATGTGTGCCGGCCGCCGCGCTGACCTCTGTGACCCACTGTGACCGGCCGGCGGCACCGTGTTGACCCGGTCACGCTCAGCCGAGGCCCTGGTCGGCGGCGCCATGGGCACGGTGCTCTCGTTCAGCCCGCACGAGCGGCGCGCCGGCCCGCTCACCAACGCCAACTATAGCGCCATGTACCCGCCGGCGGCCACACTGCCCCGGCTCAGCAACGAGAACGCCAACCTGCCGCCGCCCGAGCCGCCCGAGCCGCCTGAGCGCTCCCTCAGCAAGCACTCCAACTTCCTGCAGGCGCTGAGCTGGCGACGGCTGTCCACCGCCGGCCGAAAACGCCTGGACAACAACAGCAACCCGCGCCCCGCACGCACACCGCTCGACGCCATCCACCCGTGCGTCGACAATAACCGAAACATCCAGACCACACTCTCGTGTTTCAGTCTGAAGACGGCGGCGGCGGCGGCGCACCTGGACCGGGTAACCACGGCGCCGGGCGGTGGCCGGCCCGAGCCGCCGCCGCGCCCCCTGCAGGCGCCCTCCACGCCCGGCGGCCGCACCGTCATCCAGGCGTCCACCTCTGAGCTGCTCCGCTGCCTGGGCCTGTTCCTGCAGCGGCGCTGCCCGGCGCTGGCCGACTTCCAACCAGGAGACGCCATCATGTGGCTGCGCGCCGTCGATAGGAACCTGCTCCTGCAGGGCTGGCAGGTGAGGGCAGGTGCCGGTAACGGGACTTTTTGCTAATGGGTGCTTCCAGGTGGGAGGGAGGGGAAGTACCGTTGACGGAAGCCCCTCTGTATGACTGGCGGGTGGGGCTGCTCCGACCAGATCCTGCTCTAACATGTTCTGAAGGGTCGGAATGTCGTTAACCGGTTACCGACCTTGGTCGCTGACCTGGGTGTCGTCCTTTACAGCTGTATGTAACTATCAGAGGAGGTTTGCCGTCGACAGACGTCTACCCCTGTCCCCTGTCGGCTGTCCGTATCGATGTGCAATGATGCTGACCACTGGGTGTGTCTGCCTTACAGGACATCGCGTTCATCAACCCTGCCAACGTGGTGTTTGTGTACCTGCTGCTGCGCGAGACGGTGTCGACCGAGGTGGGCAGCCAGCGCGAGCTGCACGCCGTCGTGCTCACCTGCCTCTACCTCTCCTACTCCTACATGGGCAATGAGGTGAGCCGCGCCGTCAAGTCCTCTAACTCTCTTACTATTTAGTGGTCAACGAGGTGTGTGCCGCGCAATCAAATTTAACTTCCTACCTCCCATACTCCTGTAGGGCAACGATGAGATTACTGCCGCCGCTACCGCGCCACCACACTAAACTTCCTACCTCTGCATACTACTTGTTGAGTCTTTCCACTTATGATTGCCTTATTAAGGTTTCAATTCAACTTCAGTTAAGCAAATTACGTTAATATCATTTTTACTCAATGTGCTACGTCACTGTGTCTAGCAACTCAAATTACTCAAATTAATATCAAAAATAAAAGTCTACGATTCAAATGCTTTTTCTATTCTCTCCAAAATCATTCGCTCTCTCTAGCCACTTAACATTCTCAATTTCTTGTGACACACATTCGCTGCACGCATACTTTTGACAAACATACTCTTTTTCTGTAGAGCTTAAATAAATGCGCACCTCCCGTTAGTAATCACAATCCTCTTTGAATATTCTACATTCTCCCCCGGGGTGGAATTCATTCCTCAGGTGGAGAGGCCGCCTCCAGCAGGTACAGCTTCTGAATAGGACGCCGCACGTCCCCCCGGAGGGTGTGCACGGTCGCGGCCCGGGACCGCCCGTCCCGGCCAGGGTGCAGGGTCTTCACTGTGCCCGTGGTCCAGACGAGCCGGTTGGATGATCTCTCCCCCTCGATCAGCACAACATCGCCCGGTGCCGGCTCGAGGTCCACTCTTGAGGCGTTGTGACGGAAGTCTCGCAAGTTCCGAAGGTACTCGCGCTGCCACCGAGTCCACAGGCTGGTGACGATCCTCTGCTGGTAGCGGCGCCTCCGCGTCAGCTGTTCCGATTGCCTCCCGGCAGCCTCGCTCCGTTCGAAGGCACAGTGCAGAAAGTCAGCGGGTCGTAGCGGTTGAATATCATCGGGATCATCGCTGACGGGCGTTAGAGGTCTCGCATTGATCGCTGACTCCACCGAGCACAGAACGGTCTCCAACTCTTCCCACAACATCAGTGAAGATCCCAGGGTGCGTCGCAGAGCGGCCTTGGTGAGTCCCACCATCCGCTCCCAAAAGCCGCCCCACCACGGAGCGCGCTCAACGATGAAGTGCCATTTGACACCCTCTGCAGCCAGCACGGACGCAGCGCCACGGAATGTTGTGGCATTGTCACTCATGAGGCTGGCCGGGCAGCCTCGTCGGGCGCTAAATCGGCGGTAAGCCTTCATGAAGTCCTCTGTTGTCAGCGACTTCACCATTTCCAGATGAACTGCACGAACTACTGCGCAGGTGAAGACGGCGATATACGCCTTGAGGGGGCAGGAATTTCTTCCCTGTCTCACATACAGTGGCCCTGCGAAGTCCACACCTGTTCTGCTGAAGGGCCGGGCCGGTGTGGTCCGACTGCGGGGTAGAGGGGCCGGCCTCTGGTGGCAGAACGGTCTGGCGCGGAACAGGTGGCAGCTCCGACAGCTCAGCAGCACTGACCGCACCTTCTGTCGTCCCCGAACGATCCAATACCGATCACGGATGGCGCTCAGAACTTGCGGGGTGCCGGCATGACACAGCTGCTTGTGCGTCTTCTCGATCAAGAGATGTACGAATCTATGATCCGGTGGCATGATGATTGGCCGCTTTTCCTCCTCTGGCAGCGCAGCATAGTGCAGCCTACCTTCCTTTCTCAGGACCTCCCCGTCCAAGAACGGACCGAGATCTTTTATTCTCGATCCAGGGGGCACGGTGTGACCGGCTTTCAGAGCCTCCACTTCTTCACTGAACTGAGAGCGTTGCGCGTCCAGAATCCAAAGTCGCTCCGCCCAGAGGTGCACAAATAGCCCAGCCTGTCTCCTACACGGTCTCCGATGGCTCCGGTTTGTCTCACCGATCATCCTTAGGTATATCCCAACATATCTATACTTTCAAGTAAAGCTGGTTATTTACATTACAGTTATTAATATTTACAGGACGTAAACGCTATTCCTGAAGTGTTTTTATTTCTGAAGCTATCCGCAGATATATCGTCATTTTTCTAAGAAGCCGACAGACATACGGTATGCGCTGATTTGGGCAAAGTGCGAGGCAGGACTTGGTACACCTCCACCTGAAATGCATACTGTTGGTGTATAAATAGACTAGAGTGAGGCGGTCTGGTTGTTGACTGTGTCTGGAAACACTGGAAAGTCAAGAACTACCCTCATAAAACCACCGAGACGCTCAATTAATTCCTCTCATCCAATGAGGGTTCAGTTCCACATGGACCAGACGGGCGTCCATCTGCCGTCCCATAGCGTCCCTCTCCCGTTTAGTGGGGCAGTTACTACTTGGCGGGCTGAAGGTGAAGTGACGTAACGCTGCAGTGTACGGTGCACATCAGTGTTTCTGTTTAGGAATATGAAACTTTAAGGAGTGTGTAACAAGTTTTTTCCTGGATCAACATTACTTCATTTAGGTAAGAAAACATTATTTGAGGACGATTTTGCAATATTTGCTAATGGGACGAAGCCCATTAAATTGCTATGGAATACCTATCATAGAATACCTATCATATTGAGGACCACAAACGTTCAGAAAACGTTTTGACTGTAGGCTTTAAGAAGCGGCTTTAAATCCTTTTATAATCCATCGCTGACTATACATCTATACTGCAATCTATACACATTTCACGTGCATCGCTAATCTCTTCGCTAATACAGATCCTGGTCTATTTTTTCTTGCTTAGCAAACCTCAGCTGTCTTGTAAAATTTTCACGACGCATTCATACATTACAGTTTAGAGGCAGATAAATCCGATATTCCTGTTTTCTGCGTGGCTCTGTGAGGTCGGTCCCTGCCATGGATGGTGTGAGACCATCCATGCTGCCGATCGTTCGACGCGCTAGTTTTATTGGGGGTTATATGACCGAAGGACATCGACGGCCGACGGAACTGCCTCGCCTGGCGGGGTCACCAATGTGGAACACGCTGCCGGTTTTTCCGAAGTAAAACTGGAGATTTGCTAGACAAAGTTAGACTAAGTGAATTAATGTACTTAGCCATATGAAAGCAAATGTTTGACAGAAAGTAAGCGGCCATTTTGTCGCTGCTGGAGACAACTGCCGGAAAACTAATTGCATTCCCGCAACATCCAATTACTCATCGATACGTATCAAATGAAGCAGGGCAGATTACCATATTATTTTTCTTAGGATGTCGGAATATAACAATATGTTAAGATACCAAAAAGGTGCAATATCCTTGTTTATAACACAGCCTTTGTTCCGAGTCTGTGCCTTTGGATGGATCTCATGTGCTTAAAATCTTTAGAAAATGCACTAAGTATCCATTTGAATTATTACTTATGCCAACATGAATGGTAGAAGAATAATCAATTGTAATTTGTTGTCAAGTCTAGATGTGTTTTCTCCACTGTCAATGACTGATTTCTTCTTGCTGAGTAATGTTTTGCAACCTATTAATTTCTATGCCAATGGTGGCTCAAATATTGCTGTTATAGCTATGCAATGTGTAATCTTATATTGTTTAAATAAAGTTAGGCAAATCCAACTGAAATCATGACTGTAATATTTGAAATATGTCATCTGATTGACCTTCATCATACCAACATATAGCCCGGGCAAGGATTATGTCAAAAATGGCAAGGCAAGAGGAAAATAGAACAAGTCAGATTGTATTGCCACTCCTTTAGTCAGAGAATGAGGACAAGTTACAAGCAAAAGCACAGATCACCTTGAAATCTTGAAATCAATGTCAAAGCCTACCTACCTGACAAGTTGTATGGTCTCCCTCTTTTTAAAGTAATGCAATGCATTAGGAAGGTACATTGCTAGGTGTGAAGTTTATGGAGAACTTCACAAACCCCATTACAAATCAGTTTTATAAGCATATGCTTCAAATTGCTATGCTTCCCACACTAACTGAAAGGTTTTTGAGCAAACTCATGAGCAAACTCCATGCCAGCATATCTTGTTGTTGAGTAAACATGTTGACTACTTAACTGGCCATTCCTTTTTCTATAATCATATTAATTACAATTCTACACAGACCTGTAGACAATTCATGACACATTTTCCACCCACAAAATTATTATATACACAACTGAACACAAAGACTATGTTTAAAATAATCACATCTGTTGCATTTTTGCTGTATAGGTACCTGTCTATAAAACATGAATAGTTTGATGTTGTGAGCCTTGTGCCCAGATGAATGTTTGTGGTATTGGTGTTACAACAAGGAAATTGAAAATTTGTCATGCAGTTTAGGGAAGTTATACCTAGGTAATGTTCAAAATGAAGTGAGATGCCTTCAATTACTAAATCTCCAGTACATTGAAGAGCCATATATTCTTTTGAAGGAAATTATTAGGTACCTATTTACATTAGAGCTAGGTAGGTAGTTACCTGCATGTTAGCATCTTTCAATGTTGTTCTTTATCAATCAAAATGAATGGAAAATTTAAAAAATAAGTAGAAGTGATCAGGTAGGATAGGTAAAGCAATTTCACAATTCATTTGACTTTCAGTTTCAGTTCTCATCAAGCCAATTAGGTTGGGTACCTACCTACTTACCAGCACCTCCATAATCGCTCCCAAAAATGCCCCCTGCCACGAACCTCTTATGAAGAGTTTATAGAAGTGCAGGCTGCAGATTTCCGGCCCATGCAGAGTTTTCATTTCTTTGGCAATTCCTTAACTCCACTTAGAGCTCACAACCTTCTATTACCACACCATCACATCACAAAATATAATGTGAAAGTCCGTATACACTTTGCTTACACTGCACAAGACACACATCCACAGCACAGTACAGCAACTGAACTGAAGCGAGCTGTTCACTGTTACAATTATCTTTCAAATTCAACTGACACCGATAGCTGGTTACCACGCAACGCGATAGCAAATGGCGTCAGCTTGTCCCACGAATGGCGGTTGCTATGGAAACCAGCTGACAAAACTTTACCAGAACCCATTTTCGAACAGGAGTTTTGTTAAGGCGCCCAAGAATTTGTGCGCCGTTTTTCGAAACATGCCCACCACTTTCGTAGTTTTTCATCCTACATTTTACCTACACGGTGTCTCATGAGACACAATGTTAATCCAATGGGAACTGTCTCGTGGGTGTCTCATGGAGGAGATTTGTAGGAACTGTTTTTGAAGACACGTAAAGAAATGTAATGACCAAATGCCGTTGACAGCTGATTGTACCGACCAATTGCTACCAGTTAGCTGTTTTTATAGTCATTTTTGTACAGAAAACACAAACTGAAATCTGTCTCGCGGCTACCCTCTTCGGCTCTTTCCTGTCTCCTACATTGTAGGCAAGTAGGAAGGTTTGTGCACCTCTGGCTCCGCCCTCGCGAGCTCTTCTGCTGTCAGGATACCGTCTTGCTTCTCTGACGATCTGCTATTACAGATCCAGCGCAGGACGTAAGCTGTGACTCTCAGGAGCTTGTTCAAACTGCTGAACCGTTGAATATTGATCAAACGACCAATACCTGGCGCAGGCTCATAGCTGCTGGAGGCCGGAAGTGCTTGCTTTCTCTCTTCGACCTTGCATTCCGCAGGTTCCTGTTCATTTCGCATCCCCTGTGGCCATCTGATTTTCGCTTCTCTGAGCCACTCAGGTCCGTGCAGCCAGAATTCACCTTTCATTTTCTCCGCAGGCGTGCCGCGGGAAGGCAGGTCGGCGGGATTCTCCGCTCCGGGACAGTGGTTCCAGGCAGCAGGAGAGCTGAGACTTTGGATCTCGCAGACTCGGTTCTTCACGAACACACCCCAGCGTCTGGCGTCGCTACGGATCCAGTGCAGAGCCACCATCGAGTCCGTCCAGAAGTACACGGCTTGTGGTGTCGCGTGCAGCTGCTGCCTAACATAGCAAGCTAGCCGAGCACCAATCAGGGCCGCTGTCAGCTCCAGTCTCGGCAGTGACACCGGCTGGCGAGGTGTGAGCCGCGACTTGGACATCACCAGGGCAGGCGGGCCGACTGCCTGATCCTGTTCAGCGGCTCTTGTGTACGCCACAGCAGCGTACGCCTCTTTGCTGGCGTCACAGAAGATGTGGAGCTGGTATCCGTCTTGAAGTCTGTTTCCATATGGTCTGGGCACAGAGAAGCCGTTCAGTTGATGGAGCTCCGTCAGCCATTGTCTCCAGCTCCTGCAGACACCCTCGGGAGCCCG